TATAATAAGCTGTGTCGAACAATTGACTGTTCTCTTTTCAAATATTATAATTTTTCCGACCAGTTTTTTTTTTTATTTTAAACTATCAAGGAGTTTTAATATAATTTTCAGCCAGTAAGGTTATACTATACGTACTAGTTACATAGTATGATCGTATGAGCCAACACAGAACTAAAACTTGCGCTCTGTTAGAGTGATTCATCAGTTTTATAATTCTATAGACAGAAGCAACACCGCTTATTAGACAGCATTTATTTATATCTGCATTGTCATTAACATAAAATGTTATTGATATAATCAAAACGGTTGGATAATGTGTTGTGATTAATGGACGCATGTCCACCATTACATACAGCCAATTGAGAAAATGTTTATAAAAAGTATTTATAATTGTTATGTTATTTTAATTTCTTTCAAATCTCTTCGTTATTTTACAGTATTACAAGTTTTGGCATTAAATGTTCCCAATCTTAAATGACATTAAATATTTTTAAGACAATAATCATTAATATTAATATATCTGTCATATAATATTTATCTATATATTTAGACCAGTTGACTATCTTTAGATAAACAACTTTATTACTTATAAAATATTTATTAAACAACTCGAATAAACTTTAGTAATAATATAAGTAATTCTGTCCACGAAAAATAAATTGTATCGTTACAATAAGTTTAAATTTGGAATAGAAAAAAATGTTTACAAAAAAAAACAATCTCTATTACGTAATAGACGCTATGAAATAAAAGTTCTAAATTCAAATCAAAGTTCTAGAACCCGTGGTAGCATCGGATTCAAAATGCGCAAGTCCCGTATCGACGCAGCCGCACCAGAGGTGCCTTTGTGGCGGCCATATTTATTGCTTTTTTTTGGGTTTGCCTTTTAACAATAATATCGCCATTCATGGAATTCAGGTATAAATTTGACGTCGATTCTTTTTATGTTTAACCGTTCTAAAACTGGTAGTTACAATGGGAATGTTTGAATCTATACAACCGATATAGTTTTGTATTTACTTATACTAATCCCTTTAAATATAGCTGTAATAGGATTATATTAGAAACGACGTCTACTTTTAACACGTAATTATACAAATATATACTATTTTGTTTCAATTAGGTTGGAAAAAATATTATGAAAAAAATATATTTTTACGATCACTGATTAATAGTTATGTAGATATTCAAAATGTGGCGGCAGTTGTATTATTTTTAAATTACATAACATTGAAAATATATTTAAAATACAAAATATTTCAGAAAATAATATCTTACATATTAACAATAATAACGTCTGCTCATTTTATAATATCTCACAACAGTATTTATGGTAAAAAATAAATATTTGCTTCTACGTGAATCTATGGCAACTTATTTGAGATTCACATCTCGTAACGAAAATAATGATTTTTTCTTTCCTTCAACGTTACTTAATGATACTCAAATATTTTGTCATAAATTTATGATATAATGGATAACTTACCGTTTTTGAACTCGCCGCCGTTATCGTCAATTGTTTAAGTAAAGAAAATTATGGAATATTATTTAACCACTGATGTAACGCGTCTTCTTGTAAAGCTACTGCTGAGCTTTCTCAGTCGATGTCACAGAAAATCCTATAAATACTGTTTTACCGACATTTTCTTCCTCACAGCGCCATCTCCCGTTGGATAGTATTATTATTTATACAACTTTTCGTCTGATGTCCTAATATTGTACATGAAACTGTAATACACGCCATAGTTATTGAAAGGATAAAGTGCAGATGTCGTTTTATTTTTTATCATTATTCAAAACATAAATATAACTAAAATGAACTATCCTGATATTTTTTAATTGGTTTCCTGAAAGTCTTATTAGAATTTGATATTACGACGGTCTGATACAATTTACAGAAGCGCCATCTTGAGGATTAGTGTGAAACTTTTAGTATTGAGAAGTGATTGAGATTGTCAAGAAGCTTCAGTTAGTGATGTCTAGCTTTTTAGATAGATGTCATTTTTCTAAAATAATTAAAATTATTTTATCTTCTTATTGTGACATAGATTACAAGCTAATTAGTAATTATTATTATTTCATATTTATCGAGATTACATAAGCTTATGTAATATTTATTGAAATAATCATTAATTTTAATATTCAATAACTATGAATCAATTTAAATTCTATATAAATCTAGAACAAATTATAGAAAACATGTACGTTGTAATAAAATTTAAATATTAATAATATAAATTCAAAACAATAGCGTTTGAAATGACCAGTTCCATATCAATAGTGGCTTATCAGTCGTCATAAGCTGATACAAGGCTTTGTGCCGGCCAAATGAAAAATGATTCGCAACACTGCTCGCAGCGTAAGGCGTACGGAGATCTCGTTCATCGGACAGACGTACATTAATAATATTAGTCACTGTAATGTGACAAAGAATACACGATTTGTATAGCGGTTAGTTGAAAAAATAAACTGGTATTGGAGAACTGTTTTTGTTACTACGGTATGAAATTTTTGTATTTGGTTGAGTAATATAAATTGATTTTTTAAAGGGAAAATCCAAGGTTATGTTTTTACGAACATGTTTGTTGTGTATTTTAAAATACTTAATAAAAACGAAAATGATTTTGTTAATATCATTATAAATTTAATTTTTACTCAACTTATTTTCATTATCAGATATTAGAACGTTAATTTTTTTATAGTTAATTAATAAAGTTATTTTTTCTCTTCATTCATATCAACTGTCTGTATATATCAAAAAAAAAAATAATAATTAATGAATTCACCTAGGTAATTAAACTTATCTTGATACTCCAATATTAAAAAAGTATATTGAAAATTTTTGATATTTCAATTTCATCTGCAGTTCCAATGTCAAATTTATAAATACCGATTAAATTTTACAAAAAAATAATTGATTTACTCAAATAAAAATTACTCAAAATTACTCAGGTAAAAAGTTACTCACAATTACTCATCAAATAAAATATATATGTGTATAATATTCTGACAATGATTTATATCATATAGCCGCGACCTATAAACTATTCAGTAGGCTCGTGGCGCCCCCTAGCTGGTCGTAGGAGGAATCATTTATCATTACAACTTAGGCGTCGATATGTCGCTCGTTGAAAACAAGATCTTTTGTAAATTTAAATTTATAAATACATTTTTTTCCATAGAAAACAAATTATTTCTTTGTCTTTTTCTACCTGGCAATTTCCTAGATTCAGCCAGGGTCTGCCTTACATGTTGTTAATAGTTTTGGCTAATTGTTTTTACGACCGGCCTGCCTGACATCAACTCTTTTTGGGAATGCATTAATCAGTGATGTCTAAATACTCTTAGAGAGTGCATATGAATCGGAAAAATCACATTGGTACTTGCTAGAATCGAACCCGCGCCCTCATACATGAGAGGCGGGCCTTTTAACCACTAGGCCACCACTGACTTATACTCTGTATACTCGTAATTATTTAGAAATATAAAATATTAAATGGTTTTTCAATAAAAACTAACTCTATGTTTATAATTTATTTTTATCTTCGTCACCAATTTTTCATTATTCAATACACTTTATTCATACAATACAATAATTTAAATGATCATGTAGCATACTCCACTAACTCTCGATCCAACTGGAATGAACTTTAAACATATTTATATTTAATAATTACAAAGAATTAACACAAAGAAAAACAATATTATACAGAAAAGACGAGAAAAAAAATAATTAAGAAATAGGCCACATGCTATTGCACGATTATTTTACAATTATATAAGTAGAAAATATTCTAAGGATTTTTGTTAATATTTATTTTTTTTCGTTATATTTGAACGTTACTCATCCATATTACTAATACATCTAATATTTACAAACAATAAATTAAGCAACAAGTATTAAATTAGAACAAAAAGTTTTCATAATAAACAATATTAAGCCGAAGAATCATTTCAAATATATATCAGCCAGCGTAGAGAATAATAATTAAACAAATGTATTCTTTATTTCAACTGAATAAGAATAAAAATTATTTGACATAAAAAATGTTGTTCTTAAGTATACAAAAATTTAACAAAATATCACAGCTGACTACGACAGAAAAGATATTATCAAAACAAGATAAAAAAAACAAATTAAAAATGGAAGAAAAATAAAGAGGTAACGTATGTAGGATATGAAGAAAATAATTAATTACATACTAATTACATTAAGTACATTTATATTAAGTTACATTTAAAAATTTATCAGAAGTTAGGTATATATTTATATAATATTGGTATCGGTGAATTATATCTATTTTGATATTAAATTTACATCTAATAGAGGAACGAAAAGAAAAAACAGTAATTATTTATTCCTATGTTCTTAAAAACAAATGAACATCACCTAAAAATATTTACATTCATTCTAGGATACATTCAAGTATCCCGTATCGTTCGGAAAGCGATCTATATATTAAAATTAATATATATTAATATTTATATCTTGATTCAGCCAAATTATATGTCATCCCTGTAAAATTCCGAATTTGCTGTTGATCCAATGACGTCTATAACATTTATAATTGAAAACTATCTTAAAAACTATTTAGCCATCACAATGTACACTAACAATTAATTTGTTTTAAATTTTTTTTATTAATTTTTTCTTTACCAGTACATATGTATTATAAGCGAAATCAAATAGCTTATGACTAGCCAAAATTCATTCTAAAACAGCTATAATAAAGTCAGAACAGCTGTTTCGTTATATTAACATTATATTAATAACATTTAACCGATATTTCCACCTCAACCTCAAAGTCACTAACACAATCAAATGTCACTGTCACATTTTATATTTAATCACAATTTTTCGAACAGCGAATAACTGATCCAGTTTTTTGTATGACGAAATTTAATTTAAATTAAATTTAAATTTAATTTAAATATCGCGATACATTACTGTGTTGATTTTAATAGATCAGTTATCCGCTATTCGAAAAATTCCACTGATCCTATGCTGATAAATGCGCGAATTGGCTCGGGTGTAGGTCGAACTGGTACGGATGTCCGTATGGGTTCATGTGGTAGGGAACTATGTTCATAGAAGCCATCTTATGTTCCTTCTTCCATTTCATACGTCGGTTCTGGAACCATATCTTGATCTGCCTCTCAGTCAGACACAGCGCGTGAGCTATCTCTATGCGTCTCCTCCTCGTCAAGTAGCGGTTAAAGTGGAACTCCTTCTCCAATTCCAGGGTCTGGTACCGGGTGTACGAAGTCCTTTGACGTTTCGTCTCACCATTCGCGTTGACTGTACCTGGAATTGATAACATAACATTCAATTATGAACTCTATTAACAATTAAACAAAGCATATAATTACATATATGTGATTTAATTACTGATGTAAGTGCGTTGTATAAAATAGCATAATTTAATTATGAACTCTGTGAATAAAAGAATAAGGTTTATTATTATATGTAGGTGAATGTCGTATGAAAGCCAATGAATAGTTGGCTGGCTAGTCTCCACGCTCGAATGATCGTGATGAACAACTCTTACAAACGCACACACGAACAGAAATACACAGATATATATAGATATTAATATAAATATGTGTGTGAATTTCTATGAATTTAAAATGCATAGTAAAATAGTTATAGTTTGAGTGCGGTATATGTAGTGTTGACATTAGCAGTCGTTCGGAGCCCTAGGGCTGATCTGTCGGCCGCACCTGTCACTAGTCATCAGTGAACAGTAGAAAGATCAGCACTCGCCTTGGAAAAACGCCAATACTCATGATAAATACGACCGTCAGACAACGTCTTAGAAATTAAACTGTGTCATTTGTTACATAGAAACTCGCTAATGAATAGCTTACGAAATCATTAAAATCACACGTAGGTAAATTTTTTCTTTCATAAAGAATACATTAAAAATATTATAATATATGAATAATTCGTAATGAATTCGTATCGGTTCAAGTTTATCCCTTAAAACGGTGAAACGTCAAACCCGTGTCTATAGAGATGTTTGATAAATATAAATATTCGATTTACTCCCAAGTAAAAACCCTACGATTGATATGTTAGCGACATCCCGATACACAAACAACTGACAGACTGTATTATTTTAACATAATACATGTACAAAATAAGGTACTGGATGCGATCGAATATTAATACAACGGAATAAACAATAGTTATACATACTATAATTGTATTACTATATGTTAAGGAAGCGCTTATGAATGTATTGTGAAAAAAACCTCTAGAACAGGTATCATCGATATGTCACGGTGACATGTCGGCCTGATACATTATTTTGCAATACATCAAGGTTCGCGACATCATTAGATATTTTCAGTTTTATGATCTACTAATTATGGATACGACTGACAGATATATTTTTTAATCAGATCAAATTTTACATGACAAAGATTGTACTCATACAGCCAATGTAGATTGGCAGAATAAATTTATTAAAAAAAAATAATTATTATGTTTATTAATATATTCGATTTCAGTTATTTCAAATAAGGAAAAAAATAATATAAATAGTATTATTTTTTTATAGGAAACATAGGATCTTCTTTTTACTAACGTAAATAATTCTAGGTCACAGACCATTTGATATTCTGAATTTTGAGTCTAGACATATTGCATGGTCGAATTTTAAGTGAATGTCATCCTATTACCTATGGATGAGACTTAAAATTTGAAAACTAAAATAGGCTGTGTCTGTAGACGATATTCGTGAATGTTTTAAGATTTCTATAAAATCTTGAAAAACAGGTTATTTTTTTTTTGCACACATAATGGAAATCTTCTTCTTTTGATTCAGTGTCATAATGACGTATAACAAATTATATTTATTCTATCTCATACTATATATTCATCCACAGATCTTGCAATAAACATTTAATTGAAAGCAAAATTCTATAATACATTCAGTAAACCATCAATCAAATAGTATTTCTTTCTTTGCTTTAATTATCTTACATCAAAAGACACATTTACTGCACACCCTATATATATCTCCGCTAGTATTTAGGCCTCTTTATATCAATCGGCATGTCACAAACTAAATCTGAACATGAAAAATGGTTTGTAAAGCCATTCCGTATTTCTATACGATATATCTTTCTATCAACATACCCGGAGCCAGTGGAAATGAAACTTAAAATATTTAACGCAACATCAAAGGAGAATAATTTTATTAGAAACAAAAAAACAACACGCTGTATAAAATAAAATATGTTTCATGTTCATAATATTATACTATAAAACTTGTATGAATTTTTTTTTTGTTATTTAACAAATTAATTTATTTAGATAATAAATATTTAGAGAAAGTATAGTAATGAGGTGTTGAAAATATTCACATTTGTATAATATATTTAAAAATACATATAAATTTATTTAATTGACTAATAATCTTAATAAAATATTAAGGCGTATATAAAACACTCTTAGTAAAAAAAATCATTTACCATTTACAATATATTATATAATATTTGAGGTATTTCATAATAATTACTCTATTTTGACTATTTTGACTTTCTTGAAGTCCATAGAATATAATTATTATACACCTGACAACCAAAGTATAAGTCTTTGACGTAAAGTATGGAGTTGCTATGGAGGAAATCTCATCTGCCCGATTATAAGAAGTCGGTGCATTATCAAATAGGACATCTCGAAATAAACATATACATTTATCAAATAGCGGGTTATTTTTTCTTTGAATTTACATATAGATATCTGAATTTTGAGCTGGATTTAGTATTATATGTAGGCATCTGATGCGCATTTGTTTCCCGAAGGCTAAAACTAGAATGACGTCATGAAATATATTAAGTTGTTTACATATATTATTGTGTTTTGTTTGTTTGTTTGTAAGGTTTCTTTTAAGTTTTTGTAAAATGTTTATAATTGTGGTAATCGGTGTGATATGTCGGAATTAATGTTATTTTATTGTCTGTTTGTGGAGAAAGTAATCGCGCTTTACATACATCTAGTAAATATATATTTTCTGTGTAGGTCCGTTTCTCGACGTCAGGAAAGTTTGAACCGATTTTGAAGGGACTTTAACGAAAGATAGGTATGTATATATATTTGAATTAATTTTTGTTTGTATAATTATAAAGAAATCTATGTTTTTTTTTTGTTTAATTGTTTTATCACGTTAAAAGTTAAAATAAATACATGTTCTTTATAAATAATAACGAATCGGAGTCCCTTTTCTATTAGAAATAAGTCATTCTACACTTGTGCTAGGTATATAGTATCCTTAAAATCGAATTATTTTTCACTGTTTAATAATAAATACATATAATTCATTTCATGGAAATATGAAGAAGGTATCTATACATTCATAATATTTAAATATTTGTACCTGTAGGTATAATATTTTGATTTTCCTGTTGTTTGCTGTGCATAGAATTCATTTATTATTGAATTTGTAAAGGAATACGTATGTTTGTGTGTATATATGCTTATGTAATATTTATGTGTGTGGACCATTTCTTAATTTCATTTAAGCTAATTTATTTGACAAGTACAATTTTCTAAAAGATTTCTTTTTTATCAAAATTTTATAGAGAAAAAGGTAATGTCAGTTTAGATAATGTCATATTATATTTTTAAATCGTCTTTTTTCTTTATCCAGTCTTTGTAGATTAAATTTGCACATCCCTTCTATAATCAAGTCGGTTAACGAAATAAAAATCGACATTTCATATAATGGTCTAAATAATATCGGAGAAAAGTGATTTCTATATAGATATGATATATATATGTGTGTATGTGTGTGTGTTTGATAGTTTCTTAGTAACAAAACTAAAGTACTTTAATTTTTTGTAGGCGTATGACTCTCAAATGAATCAATTAGGCAAAACAACGCAATGAAACTAATTACCAAAGCAACAAGGCGTTGTCCTAAAAATCAACCAACTCTATACTCAAATTCAAGTATATTTTTCAATTTTCATACAAGTTTTATATCAGTGGGTGCGGTTATGGTAAAATACAACTAATAACAGCATTAATTCCCTTAAGATCATTCCGATGCTAGTAATCCATACTTAATAAAAACTATATCGATTAAAGGAATGTGATATTTATTTTATTTAAAACAGAGTTCCTTTTTGAATGTGCCTTTGATATCTTTGTGAACCACGAAGTAATTATTTTTAGTTGTCACCCAACTATCACAAGACTACTAAAAGCGCTACCTTCGTGCTTAAAACGTACCATGTTTTCTGTTTTGTGATCACGATATTCTTTTACCATTTATGGTTGTGAAATTATATATATATAAATATATATAGTATATTAAAATAGCACAAAATCTCTCTAAAAAAGTATTGGATAAATCATATTAAATTTCGTAAGACAAAATTGTTATCTTGATTTAGGTTGGAATTCAAATGATTTTACAACCTAAGTTTGATATTTAAACAAGCAAATCCAGGTATACAATCAAGTCTTAAAATCACAGGCATGTTTTAGGTTCAATAGAATAACTCGAAGTCTTGACAAAAGAAAAGTTATTAATATAAAAAGGATATATTAAAATTGTATTAATTAAACTACAGGCGTACCTAATTCTATAAATGTACGTAGGTATATCATTATAAAATATGGTTCACTTAAATGGTATATCTGATGGTTTGTACAAAACGGTATTAAGAGCAAAATCAAGTTGTGTAATGATACCGACGTGGACATATTAGGGACGCTAATATCTTGTACACATTCGCATAGCACGCTATAAATCTGCGCGGGCGCAGCCTCTTATATATGATTATCAGAGATTCTCTACCAAATATTAATTTATGTTCATATATAGATTACTATTAAGTTATTGTATTATAATTAAAACTGCCTAAATTAAAAATGAAAAATATATATGAATTGTTAAAAAATATTAGGATTAGAGAGTCTAGAATTATAGGTATCTCCATAATGTTAATTTAACTACCAAATCAATTATGGTTTATCACAATATATACTCTAGAAGATAATTGTATCTAACAAGCATATAATTTGCGAAATTAACTTCAACTATATAAAAATTTAACAAAGAATTTTAACCGCATACATCAGTTGAAATTCCATCACTACCTGCTAAAACCGGGTATAAAACTGTTTGAGGTTTAATTAAAAACTTTGGTTTATCTTCGAATAGCTCCGTCCACAATTACCGTGCCCGTGAAACCGGTAATAATATATAAAAAAATAATATATAACTCGTAAATGATGCCATAAATTAAACATAATAATACGAACGCCCAACCGGCCATCATGTGCGGAAA